GAGAAAGTACAGTAATAATGAATGGGGACTCTAGGACCATTAATAAGTCTGCAGTCTCCATAGTCATGCCTGTTCATTGCTGGGAACGAGCTCTTGCTGTAGGACTTAGCTGTTAGAGAAGTGCTCTGCTTCGCAGGCCTGAAGGTGATGAGAAGATTGAGTGAATAGCCCCCTTGGTTTACCAGCTCTCCTTCCCTTTTGGCTTAAGTACTGTGCTATGGGACAGCTTGGGCTTTCAGACTAGCAGCCCTGACTGCTTCACTATTTACTAGCCCTGTGACCTTGGTCAAGTTACTTTCTGAGCTTGTTTCCCAGTTCAAACATGAGGATAGTAGCAATACCTTGCAGAGTTCCCTTGAGAATTATGTATAAGTAATGCATGAAAGCACTGAGTTATGGTAGGTAGCTCAGTTGATACTAGTTCCTTTTCCTCTTTAGAGGATTCTAAGTAAACATACCTTTCAGGTGAAGGTCATTATATTGTCACTGCCTTGACACCAGCAGTAGAACCCCTTTCCTTTGCAAGGGAGATGGAAGAAAGAATAGCTTTTACTCTTCTAGGACATAACTGATGAAATCAGATAGTTCCCAGAAAGCAAAGGCCTGAGGCAGACAGGCCCTATTCCACTACTCAGAGATGTACAGTGGCATCCCACAGTCACTGTCAGCCATAGGGCAGCTGTGACACAGTTGTCACGGCCCGCCTATGCATGAACTTGGTTGTAGCTGTTAATATTATCACCACTTTAATTTAATTATGTGCATTGTTGGTTCTGCACATGTTGTGTCTAATTGCCATTTAAAATGTCTTCCAAATCGCAGTCAGATTCAGCATTGAAATGTAAAGTCAGAGTGGATGCTGAAAGGCACCAGAGCAGAGAAGCATGGTGTTCATTTGCTATTGGAGAAACAGATAATTACACTGATGTTTTCTTGATAAAAAATAAATAAGTTCTCTCTGGGATGTAATAAAGGAAGATAGCATCTGGATGAAGTTTTATGTTTTGATATTGAGATGTCCTTGGAAAAACATGGACATTGATGACTCTGATTCAGAAAATGATTCAGATAAGTCAGACTCTGAATGTGAAGGTTTTTTTAGGGCTAGCTTAACCAGTTTTTGTTTGTTTGTTTGTTTGTTTTTTGGTTTTTTGGCTGTACTTTCATTTTAATGTATGCCCAAGAGTGATGAGTGGTTTTTAAAATTTGTCATTCTGTGGGGTAAAGAAGTAATGAATCATAGTTTACTTGATGGTTTTTGCATTTTTGTTGGTACATAAAATCAAGTTTAAAGGTTGCCCTCCAAAGAAAGTGATAAACAGCCCTAATGAAGTCAGTAAGTAGAAGAGTGACAAGAGAGTGTGCTTGGAGTCAGACCCATGTGCAGACCTGTTGCATGTCAAGTACCTCACGCTCATCACGGAGTCTCGATTGTCCTCCCCAGCACTTGGCCAGGTAACTTTCAGAACCAGGACAGGAACAAGAAACCATTCTTTGGGCACTAAGAGAATGGGCCCAGTGGTACCTGCCATGCCAGGACTGTGAAGAGAACCCATTTGGACAGGATAATTTGCTGAGCCTACCAGGCACTGCTCCTGTGCTGGGCACTTCATGGGTTTTCTCAAATCCTTGCAACAATCCTGAAAGATTTCCACTGGGGCAGCTACTACCCTTTTAAAAGACACTTTGCCAAAGTATAACAAAAAATTTAAAAAACAGTCCTGCCTCTTGACTTGGTAACTCCATGTTTGGGAATTCATGCACCTGAAGTTGTTCATTTTCCTTATGATGTTACTTAGAGTGAAAAATTGGAAATGACTTAATGTCTAACTCTAGAAATAGGGTCCAGTAAATTATGGGATATCCATACTTGGTAGAATATTACACAGACTTAAAATAATCATAAAAATTATAGTATAATTGGGAAATGTTAATGTAGCCAATGAGAAAACAATAAAACATATGCACTCGATAATTTCAAAGATATTTTTAAATGTTTGTTGATGTAAGCCAGTACCAGATGAGAATAATGCAAAAATAAAAGTAGTTGTTGTAATAAGATGACATGATCATGGGTGTTTCCCCCCCTGCCCAAATTTCTGTTTACAACAAAAGCTAAACAGAAGAGATTTCCAAAGAAAATGAGTCAGTAGCTGCAGTAACTATTGAGGTATGTTTAAAAAAATTGTTTTCAGAACGCAGGTAAAATTACCTAGTTATATATTTGCTACAGTAAGATGTTAAGGAGACTCTGGGTTTCTTTTTTTCCCCGCTTCCTCTCCCCACTTGAAATTTGTAATCAGTATGTTTACAGAGCAAAAATGCCACAGATTCAGGGAAGTATTTGAGGCTTTGTAAGCAAATGATGACAATGTAGAAGGTATTTGTCCAAATTTGCTTTCATACAAAACATGGAACTGCTGTGATTTCAGAATAAATGTGTTTTATGTATTTTCTAAATACAGAGCTGTTGCAGCCCTAAGTTGGCTAAGAACTCCATTTCTATGATAGGCCATAATTACCCTTTGGAAAATTATTGGGCTTAAAAAAAAATTGCCTAATAGTACCTGAAGAGTGAGTCTCACTTTGTCCTTTCCTACATCTACCGTCACTTCTAAGACTCCTTTTTCCTCTCTTTCATTGATTTTTATTGCAGGACAAAAGAGCATGGCATTAAAACCTACATATTTAAAACTCTAGAAAATGAATTTTTTTTTTCAGATAAGAGCCTGTAGTTAAATTATAGAGGCTTTTGCTATAGGTATTTCTACCTTCTTCTCACAATTGTTTGAATGTCTTTTTTTCTATACATTAATTCATTAGTTGGAATTTCAGTTCTGAAATTATAATTAAAACTCAGGGTCATTTGTCACTTGCATGACAGTGCTGGTAGGGACTGGGAAATTTTGGAAGATTTGGTTAGGTATTACAGATTTGAGTTTTCCTCCCATCTATGTGTTTGGCGGTGCTTCTGGACACATTAATAAGTGGCCATTTTTCTGGAATTCTGCTCTCTTCCTGCTTCCTTTCATTACATTAGGCAAGGTTCCACTAGATGAGACATTTGCAGTCTTAAGACTTCCTGCCAGGGTTCAGACTTTGTATTTTTGACATTGAAGCTGTCGTGTTCCTGTAGCTACTTAATTAGAAACACATTCATTTCAGTGTACACTAGAAAAAGCTTGGACAGCAGAGCCAGGCACACTGGGAAGTTTGAGCATTTGTGTCGCTGGCAGCTAAACTAATGGTTTACAGTTTAAGGAGAAAAAATATCGTAGGGCATTTCCTTGCCCCTAGAAGCGAGGAGAAGCTGAATGTGCACAGCAATACCATTTTTAAAAAAGGGGAGGAGAAGAGGAAGAAGAAGAAAGAAAAGACAACTCCACTTTCACTGCAGTTGTGTGCCTAATTCTTTCTTTGGCTATTATCAAATACAAAAGTCTTCTGGAAGAATAGTTCCCAAACAGTGCTGCTAATATTCAAGTCTGTTTTACAGGCTCCCAAGATATATTACTGCTGAGATCTGTAGGAAGGGGAACATTTTATATTCTGGGGAAGGATTTTTGCTTGAAGAATTTTATTTGTTGAATGGTAATGAGGGAATTGTGCTCTTTCTTATTTTTAAATGTTTGAGCAATTTTAAAATGCACATCTGATGTTTAAAAAGCCTTCGTCGCCTATCCGTTGCTTTCAGGATAAAGCCTAGTCTCCTTAGTATTCAGTGGGTAGCAAAACCTCTCCTTTCTTATCTCTTACCACTCCTCGTTTCCCTATCCTGTCCCCAAGAAAGCCACCCTTGTAGGTCCACTTCCATGCCACCAGCTGCTCTAGAGGAAAGGTGACCACACCTCGGTCTGAGCCAGGTATCTTTCCTCTAGGCTCATAACTTACCCTTTGCACTTTTCACAGGGTATGTCCCGTGCTGGAGAGACACATGGGAAAGTTGTCAGTCTCTCCCTTTCTCTCTGCTCCTTGACCTCCCTCCACAGCCCCAGGAAAAACACTGCGTGGGAGGTGGGTCTGGGGATTTGAGGTCTGGCAATACAAAGTCAGTATGGCATGGAGGAGGAAGGTTTGGAGTCAAATCCTAGGATTGCTTCTTGTTCTGTAGCATTAGAAAAGTGATTTAAGCTCTCTAGGCCTATTCTCTCCTCTGTAAAATGGGGGTAATACCTGTTGTGTGATTAGGAAGGAAGAATTTGAGATTCCTTGATAATGTCTAGCACATTTATCGTTGGTAAGTAGCATCATGATAATGTGTATATGTGTACCCTGAAACCAAAGGAAATCAATCCATAATGCTCATGTTTTAAAGCCCTTGTAACCCCTTAAACTGGGTTCTCATTTTCTGCTCAGTCACTAACTTAGGGAACCCATCGCTCTGGGAATGAAGCAGTTGGAAGGGGCTTTTGAAATACAGTATCATCAGATGGCATGTATGCAGCTGGAGAGGGGATGCTTGCTGGCTGTGATGTACTTTGTCCTATCAAAACGGACAGTTAGATCACATCTCTTGATTGCAGAAGGAAACAACAAATAAAACATCATTCTTCTTTGAAACACTTTATGCTCTCCATCCAAGATCGTTAACTGCTTTTTCAGTTGCAATCACCGCAATAATGGTTCCCATTTGTACCAGGAGCTGTACTCATCGTATATTTTCTCATTCTGATAGCAAGCTGCCAGTTAGCTTCCACAGTGCCATTTTACAGATGAGGCAACTGAGGCTGCGCAGCCGCATGGCTATTTAGGGACTCAGGCCAAGGTCGGTGCTCCTCCCACCGTCCGTGCTCCTTCTAGGGCTGCCCGCAATTTTGAAATTCTTCCGAAGTCTCTAGGCTTGGGAAGAAAATGTCATATTAGGATTTTTGTTGTGAAAGGAAATGTAACTGTGCATACGTTTATTAAAACAGTTTTTCTCCAAATAGTGAACCATCTGTAATTTTCTGTCAGAAGCAACAGACATTAAAGCAGCTGTGTGTCTCTGTTTCTCTTCACAGTGCTCCCATGCCCTACCTCATAGGAATCCATTTAAGTTTAATGGAGGTAAGTTGGCTCCTCTCCTCCCCAGATCTCCCTCCTTGCGGGTTTGTTGTGCTACGTGGCAGTGGGACAGATGCATTCTCTGGAGTCACAGCTCTACACGTGGGAACGTGTCAGAGCAACACCTCATGCACAGAGCTGAGCATTCAGCTCAGACCCTTTTCGCTGGGCTTCTGTTTCCAGTGTTTTTCCACTTTGTTTGGAGATTGTCAATTTTCATGGGTGAGGGAGTGAGGTTCAGTGAGGTAGGAGGAAAGGGTTCTTCAAGGGTTTGAACGAGGGAAGGGAAATGATTCACTTTTCAAAATGATGTTTATTCTAAATCACCCCATCAATATTGCATTTTTTCGTTGTAGAAAATGTGGCATAGGAAGCAGATAGAAGTATGAAGTGGAAAATTAACATTATCCACAATACTGTTATTCCAGGTTCAAGCACTGTTAGCATTTTATTCTGCTTCATCCTCCTCGTTATTCTATGAATGTGTATTTTGTTTAAATGTACTCAACTGATACGATATATAATTTTGTGTATTTCATTTAATATTATGGGATGGGGACTTCTCCATGTCTTTGTCTCCTCTTAGTAATCATTTTTAATTTGCTGCCTGTCCTTCCACTGTTTGTATATTCCAGAACTTAGCCATTTTCTAATTATTGTTGGACACTTAGGTTGTTTATAATTTTTCTCAATTGTAAATAGCATTTCAGTGACCATATTTATGCAGAAGGCTTATTTGCATTTTGACTTAGTTCCTTAGCATAGAACCCCTAAAGTAGAAAGGCTTGGTCAAAGCTATGAATCTAAGGCCAGATTGCTTTCTGCACGGCTGTACCAGTTAGACAGAAATTCTTTTAAAGGACTTTCTGTGCTTTTGTAAGTGCCACTGGCTTGCAGACATGAACCCTGAGCTTTTCCCTCCTCAGGAGAGAGCTGAAATTTGTACTAGAGCAAAATGGGGCGGGAGGTAGGGGGCTTGCCTGTTCTGCACGAGAGAGAAGCTCTCAGAGGGAAAAGCTAAAGCCATGTCCGTCTGTGATGATGCTTTGCATGTCTTAAAGGAAGTGCTACTTCTCTTCTTCTGTTCCCTTCATTTCACGTCGACGAGGACCACCTGCTTCTTCGCTGTTGCACACTGTGCTATTGTGCTTACGAAAATGAAACAAGTTGGTTATCGAAAAACCTGTTTGTTTGACATTGAAAATCTTGATCAAAATAGACCACAGAAATCTGCTCAAATTTCTAATTTGACAGGACGGCCATGTGGCTCCTACATTCTGTTAACAGTTCCTCCTTGTCATCACCCAGCCCTGAGCACATACAGTACACAGTTTATGGACGATCTTGGATGGTGTATTTAGATCAGATTGAAGAGATTTCTTCTGTGTTTTACCTTTGTTTGTCAAGTTTGGGGGTGTACTCAAAGCTCCTGTATGAATAATTGAAAGTGAACACTCGCTAATAGACCTTTTGTGCCAATTGTTGTACCATTGGGAACACTAATCTAAGCACCATTTGGTCTGTCGGCATCCACAACTCTTTCCTGCCTCTTCTGCCTTCCACACTGTTCCAGCAAAGGCTTTTTCAGACTCCTTTTTATGGCCCTACCTTGAGCATTGTCCAGGTTTCTAGTCCTGGCTTGCTTTTCTTCTCAACATACCCCCTGGTCATCTTGTTTAAGGGTTTTTGCTTCTGCTGCTGAGGTAATATTGGTGACGTCCAGCTGTGATTCCAACATTGGCCTGCCTCCCTGTGACCTTCAGGCCCAAAGTTTCACCTGAGGACCAGTTGGCCAGGTGAAGGTTACCAAGATATACTATTGATGTCTCAAACCCCGAACCCCATATTATTTGTACATACATACCTTTGAGCTACTCCACTGCCCTTCTGCCATTCCCGGTCCCTATGAATGGCACCGCTGCCTGAAAAGATCAAAGTGGGACACACGGATCATGGCTGAGCACTCCCCTTCTTCATACTTTCTCTCCAAATAGTCACGAGGCCTCTCACATGTCTCTCACCCTGTTCCTTCCTCACTGCCTCCATTGACATTTTACTTTGCTTTCTTGGAGTTTTGCGAAGTCTTATCTGTTCATTCAATAAGTAAATCAAGGCCTCTGGTGTTCCAAACATTTTGCTAGGTCATGGAGGAGTGAAGATGAGTATAAAATTCAGTCCCTGATCCTGACATTTATGGGATTGCCTTCTACCTGGTCCCTCTGCCTCTAGCAACCAGCCTTCCAGCCTCCCTCTGCCCTCCCCACTGCTGCCAAGCCTTCTGTCCTCACTGTCCCTTGTGAGCCAGTGCCCTGGATGGTCCCTCAGCACACCCACACTCCCACACCTCTGCACGGCTAAGCCTGCTCTTCCCTAGCTGTGGAAGTCCTCCTGCTTTGCTGTCGTCTTTGCTTACTGTCCCTCACGCTCGGGGTGACAGCTGCTTCCTTCCCTGTCCTCTGCCTCATCCCAAGGAGATGCTCATGCTCTTTGGGAACAAGGACTGTGCTTCATTCACTGTGGTGTCCTCAGCACTTAGCAGGACGCCCAGCAGATGCTCTCTGAAAAGCAGGATTGAGTGAGTGCTTGGAAAGCTGGAATTCAGAGCACATTTAGAGCCCTCCAGCAAGCATCACTGTTTTCAGGGAACCCAGCACCATAATTCTTCTACTTAAAGATGGAGGGAGTACATTTGTTACTTTTTATATGATTATAACTTAAGATAAGGTTTTTTTGTAGTAAAACATGCATGAACTTTAAAGCTAAAACTTGAGGCAAAGTTTTGCACTTAGGTGAATGGGTGCAAGTCCACTCTGCTCAGCCTTTGAAGGGTTTTAAGTGAGAAGGGTCAGGAAGCTCTGGCCAAGATAAATCTTAGCCCTGTTGATGGGCTGAAACTGGGGAGGAGTTTGCCATGCTGAACTATTACGTGGTCAGCACTAAAGAAAAACAAAACTGTCGTCGTTGCCCCACTCTTGAAGCCAGCTAAGACACTCTCCAAACAAAAGAGCATCTCCTGCGTGTGTCAGGCAACTGTGAACTACCAAACCGTGAAATTGGGTCTCCTGGACTCCTCCCACGGATTTCAGCTCAGACTTGGAGGGCTCCACTCGTGCTTTTTGATCGGGCTTATCCAGTTCTATTATACCTTCAAGTGAGAGAGATGCTGCCCTGAGATTTCTGCCAGGAACTGGGCTGTAATGCTTGGGGTGGAGCTCGTACCTGGGGCCAAAGGAAAGCTCTTTCAGGAAGGAGCTCGGGAAGGCCCAGCTCCTCTCACACACTAGTTTTCTTACTGGCAATTCAGCAAAAGGCTTATTTTTGACTGTCTTGTTATTTTTTCTTGAAAGCTATAGGCACCTTATTATGCCTTTGCATATGTGCCAGAATTTTTTAAACTTCAAATGAATGTGGCAGATGTTCATAAAAGTTTAGAAAAAGCTACCATAGGAAGACTTTTTAACCATTTTTATGACACTCAAATTTGTTGCACAAAGAGAAATATAAATTATAACCTAGTGTTCTCATTTGAAAAGAGGCTATTTTGGGGGAAGATCTAATTCCAGCCTTCATGCTGTTACAGGGCCCTGACTATTTGCTAACTGGTAACCCGGTCACCTTAAAAAGTCCGCCTTCCTTCTAAAGTGACAAGTTTCTAGCTGATCGTCATTCTTATCCCTCCTCTGCCTTTTTATATCCTTTCTCTCATTTAAGCAAACACTAATTTGAGGCTGGTGGTAAGTTAGCAGGATAGCCGAGGGTATTGGCATAGACCTAGTTTCTTCTTGGAGAGAATGATCATGTTAGCTGGCAGCTAGGAAGTGCCGAAACGCGGCCAGATTACACAGTGACTGTTTCCTTTCGTTCCCTGGACCTCAGTTCAGTTCAGGAGACTTTCTGCAGCTCCTCTTCTGTGCCACGTCTGGTAGCAGGTCAGATCTGCTAGATGGTTTACTTCTCCTTTTTGATAAAAGAAGACCTTCCTCTTTAAGCCTCACAAAAAATGCTTTGTGTACAGGTTTCAGAGCGATGTGAGGGAGGTCTGCAGGTCTTTAGTATCATTCCTGGTGGGGGAATGGTCCAGAAGGAGGAAGGCAAGGTGACAGCAGTGAGCAGTGCAGACAGGGGCTCAGGTTAGCCAGTAAATGAAGCTCCACCTACACACAGAGGCAGTAAGGTGTGGAGGTTAGAATGGGGGTTCTGGGTTCCGGCCCTCCTACCTCCTGCTTGTGTGATCATGGGCAAAGTAACAGACCTCTGAGCTCCTGTCTTCTCACCTATAAAAGGAAAGCAGTGGCCAAGCATCCCCTCTGGCGTTGTTGAGGGATCCAGTGAGACAGTGCTTCTCGGGGACCTAGGACAGTGCCTGGCACATAAAGATCCAACAGAGGTCAGCAACCGTTGCTGGGTTTCTTTCCTCAGTGGCCTTAAGCCATTTACATTGTTAAATTAATGGCTTTGAAAGTGTGTTTCAGGGACTCTTAGGTTCCAGGGATCATCATCTTCATTCTCTAGGGAAAGACTTTCTACAGAATTGGCTTGTACCTGCCCTGTTTCCTCCTGGCTGGTGGTGCTGGAGGCACTGTATCAGGGATGGGAGTGGCACTTTTAAAAAATTTGAATAAATGCCCTTCCAATTCCCTGCTTGACCACTCCCCTGCTGTAGTCATTTCAGGCATGATATTTTGTCTCTCCTTACTTTCTTCATCTGTAAGAATGGTTGGTCCCCATCTTTTAAAATTGTGGTAAAGATTAAATAAATGAGCCCTGTATATGTTCAGCATATCCCAGTGTCTGATCACTATACAGTACATACCCCTTCTGTGGTGATGTTTTGAGAGCCTTCTGTGAACCAGGCATTGTATCGTACTAGGAGTTCTATGTAAAATGGTGAATGTGACATAATCTGCACCTTCAGAGTTTTGTCTGGAACAGTTGCAGACAAGGAGAAAATGATTGCAGGGATTTGAGAGGCCATCGGCTCTGGTCAGGGAAAAAGTGAACTG